ATCCGAAGTCCAGGTCAAAAAGCGGCGCACCAACAGGACGGTCGTCCAGGGATGGACCATAATTCAACTGCATTTTTCACCATTCGAAATGGAATTAAGCAATATTCACCATCAGAAATTCGGATCTACCATGGGCAAATTGGATTAAATCATTATAAACCGGAACTTTAGCCAGGAACAATTCAAAACCATGCAACAAAGCCATATGCAGAAGGGTCAAAACATATGTTTCTTCGGCATAAATTATGGATGGCCGTTGAGTGAGTTGAGATCCAAACGACAAGTTTTGTGGGTCCATTGCTAGCCCATTAAGGCAGATTTCTAGATGCTGTACCCTCTGGTAAATTAACAGTTCGACCCTGAAAAGAACCAATTTTTAGTGGAAACTAATCTTCCAAGCCCATTTTTAGCAGGGTCTATGTAAATTTATTGGAGGGTATCTTCAAGGTATCTTTGTTGGTTTGCCCCAAACCACCAGAAGAGGCTTACCCTATGGCTGCAGGAAGCCGCTTACTGAGGGCACTCACGTGGATGCTGCAGCACAGCCTGCTTGCGTGCGGGCGCCTGGCGGGGATTGACCCTTCAACCACCGGTATACCTCCAATTATAGCCATCTAATAGGGAAAATGAGCCTCCGATGATAATTATAATTAGATTATACATCCAATGATAATCCAATGGAATTTCAGTGATGATCTCAGTGATGTTTCATTTTCGTGTTTGAGAGTAGCGACATGCTTCCTTTTCCTCCAGCAGAGCTATGTTGTGGTTCGCGGTCATGAACAATGGGATGAAGTGGCTAGGAACGCGCAATTCAAGCTAGAAGATTTGATGGTTCCATCTCCTTAAACAAACATTTCGGAACTTGCATATATTGGCATATTATCATATTTTTGTTCCCCTAAAAAAACATTTCAAAGCTTTATTAGCACAACCCGATCCTCGGCGTCCATGTGAGGTGCCCATCTTGGCACCGAAATTCAAGGGCGAATCTTTGGAAGACGAGGTTCAGGACCACAGCTGGACACCTACATCGATAAGTGGCTGGTTGGTGGTTTGGAACATTTTTATATTTTTTCATATATTGGGAATAATCATCCCAAGTGACGAACTCATATTTTTCAGAGGGGTAGGTATACCACCAACCAGGTGGATATTGCCACTGTTCTTGCTGATGTCGTGGAAGATCTGAGGATCCAAGAAGCCAATTGAAGGGCAAAAATCTTCGTTGCAGTTGGTCCCAACAGACATCAACAGATTCAGACTTTGTGTGTCTTTCAATCATTGGATTGCTTTGAGATTGGTTTCAGTGGAATTTTACAGGACAAAATCATAGATTGCATGAAGAAAAAATCGGTTTCCAGCGCGTATTCCATTCAAAGAACTGCTTTGCAGTAGACTTTCCATAGAACATATGGCTTTTCAGTAAATCCATCCATAAATCCGACGAAGCCAGGAGCTCATTGCACAGATCATGCTGGGGCCCTCAAGGTGGTTTGCTGCATCAGCCCGTCATGTTTTGACCCACCTGGGTGTTTGAATATAGGGTTCAGGGTGAAATTTCATGGTATTTATGAATTCTTCCCCAGAAACAAGTTGCCATAAGGACCATAGCCAGTCTGACTTTCTTCCCCCATTTTCAGACACACCCTTCAGCATCAAGTTCATCAAGTTCGTCAGTTCGAAAAAAGTTATCCCCATGATATCCTCAGTAGATCCCCAAAAATCATGCGGCTTCGCCTGAGGCCCACTGCCTCCAGCCAACGTGGCGTAGATCGCCTCGCCGAGGTCGTTTTGCGCGAGGGCGGGTTATCCCAGTTATCATCCATTTCTATTGGGGATCCCCCATGACTTAGAACCCCCCCATAGGAATAGTAGTGTGTTGGTTTATAAATCCCATTTAATATATACTTAATATCTATATCAATATCAATATCTATATCTATATAAATAGCTCTATAAATATCTATATCTAGATCTATATAAATATTTATATATAGATATATGTGGAGGGTTCTTTAAACGGGGGACCCCCTCAAGTCACCCAGAGGTTTCAATAGAAGGTCATGGTCTAATCGATCCATCAGTTGAGATGTGTATAGCCATTGTAAGCATTCACCAACTTTGGGATGATTAGATGATGTTAAATGCAGTTACATACCAGACATGACCAATCTGGTAGGCCCATTGGTAAGGTACCCTATATTTGAATAGCCATCGATATTCAAAGGGTATTTGTGAGGGAGCAAAGCGGGGATGGCAACTTAAGATTGATCTATGTCATTTCAGGGTATGACGGGTCAGCAACCAATGAACATTGAAATTGATGCCCATCAAACCAGGGATACGAGCTGGCCCACTCGTTTTAGACAAGGCTTTCCTGAAGACAAACTTAGGGCGACACTTCGGAATTTGCATGTTTTTGCAATGTATCAAGGATCTTAACCAGATGAAACTACCATTTTGTTTTGGCAAACCGTTGTTTGGAACTACATATTGAGAGTGCAGGATCCGCCCTCCTTCAAACAAGATGTTTGTTGAAAGCTTCTTGCTGTTGCCTTTGCCCTTGACATTGGACAAGCAAAGTGCGACCTACACTGCAACTCTGAAAGTGGATGATGATGATGATGATGATGATGATGATGATGATGATGATGTATCTTGCCTTTTCCAGTGAAGGCCTAGAGTAGCAACGCGACGGAATCTTCCCTCGGATGCGGCTCTTGCTGGATTCATGTGGGGAGCACCCCTGATGAAGCCGATAGGGTTTGGGTCCGAGAAACATGTTTTGAAGGAAACACCTGAATTAGCAATGAAACACATGGTGTAATGAACATTAATGGCAGATTGTGAACATCAATTTGGTTTTATCCATTTCATTGGTGAAGATTGAAGGTATGACCCAATGAAACATGGATATATAGGGGGTTTCTTAAAATGGGGGATCCCCAAGTCACCATGGGTTTAAGTTTACCAAAGTACAAAGCTTGTTGAATGGCCAGGCCATTCGTGTCATGTTGGCCAGCAGTCTTCCAGAGGCTGCAACGGGGTTGGAGTATGGTTGGTGAACAAAACCCCAAAAAACATAGGACAACATAGGACAAGAACCAACCAACATACGCTGTTAACTGTTAAGTGTATTAAGTGTATAGACAGATACACATCTATGGATAAAGGGGGAAACACATTCATATGTATTTGTACGTGTGATATGATAGAGTCTTTGTAAAACTAACAAAGATACTGAGAATTGCTTAGGCAAAATTAATATCTACGTTTAACGGGGTAAGAATGCAACCAGCAGCTGGCTATCTTGTCATTGTCATTAGTGATGGGTGAATCAACATGTTTTGTATTTTTACAACTAAAGGGTTAAAAAAAGTGGATGACACTGTTCTCTAATACAGTAGCTGATTTAATCGCATCAGCGAACAAATTAAGGAAGGGGTTTCCAAACAGCTTGGCCTCCACTTGAATCGGAACAAGTGCTGCTACATTTTCATGAATGGTAATAATGTGGTCAGGTTCCCAGACGGACAAAAGTTCGAAGATGAAGTAATATCTTGGACATCAAATCATGACATGCTGTTCTCTACGTCTCCGCTGATTTACTTGGTACCAGTTAGTGCCCGGCCCGCGCCGGGGCGGAAGTTTCGCAAAATGGGAAATGGCTATAAGAAATCAATGGCCTATAGGAAAGTCTTTGCCATGCAGAAGCAATTAATTGTTGAAGTTGTGAGGTGCATCAATGAATGAGCAAATGGTGCTTGAAATGCGAATGAAATGACATGAAAGAATCCGTGCACAACTAACCGAATGAATCCATGAATCAATGAAATCAATGAAATCAATGAATGAGTGAATTAGTGAGTCAATGGCCTCGGAAGTGGCTGAAGAGATGTCTTTGAAGATTTTCGGATCCGAGTCGTCTCACTGAATCTGGTCGCTCACTGAATTTGGCTGAAGAATGGCGCTTGACTTGGCGGGTGAAAAGAGAGGTGAAAACTTCGGAAAGCCCGTTTTTTTCCTAGCAATTCTGGGATGGGAAGTTGGGCCTGGGATGGGAAGCCGCGAAAACAAGATGCTTAATTAGCCACCAGTTCACAGGGTGGCTTGCATTCTGTTTGTTTGATTTAGAGGCACTTGCGTTGCATCAAAAAAATCCGTCACCCTCTTTGAACAATGCGTTGCATTTTGAGCATCACAAAAAACAAGCCCGCATCATGTGCACTATAGGGGGCAGCATCGCAGCGCCAACAGTGTCGCAGCGAGCTTGACTTCGGCGATGCATTTTTTCTGCTGCCACTTTATTCAAGCCCCGGACCATCCGAATTCAACAATTCCGGCCCTGAGCTCAACTCCCATCCGGGGCTCATCATGGTGCACGCAGGCAGAGATGAGCTCGACAGCTGTTTCCTACTCGTTTGAATGTTTCACCCGTGAATGCGCCGCGTCCGAACTGTTGCACGTCCCGACTACTTGATGATGGGTGGTTGGCATGATGATGTGGTTGGCATGATGATGTGGTTGACACAATGATTATGGGACTGCTAACCAGGACAGTCCTCCGTAACTCGGAAACTCCCTAACCAAACATCCTTTGATGACATACATGTATAAATACAGATACACACATAAAACATCAGAAACGCACGTGCTCAATGTGTCCAGTGGCATGATCGACAGCCACATCATGGGACATGGTTCCACGTGACATTTTGTTTTGGCAGCTACCACCGTGGTTTGTTGGTCATTTTACCTTATGTAAATACCCAAACAATTTGCAGGTCACACTCTTAAATTTGCTGTTTCTACATGGCGAAACATGGTTATACACCCCGATTCCTATCGATTTTATCTCACTTCGATCCTCAAATTTCCCAGTTCTATCCACTTTGCTCCTGATTCTTCCCAGTTGTTTTATCCACTTTGATCCCTATTTTTTCCAGTTCTCTCCCCTTATTCCGTGTGAAAAAAAATCAACCTTTTACAGATTTCCCATGGATCGACCTCCGCGTCGCGAGGTAGAAGTCACTGGTTTCGCCAACAGCGATCTGTCGCGTGGCCGTGCCAATGGTGTGGCGGTACCAGATGTGGACATCGTGGCTGGGACGAAAGAACGGTGACGTGGTGGGAGTGCGCAACCCGTAGTGCGACATAGGAAAATCATGAGAAAAACATGGGAAATTTTGGGCAATCATGAGACATCATGAAAAATCTGGAGTTAGAATTATATCTATCCATCCATCCATCCATCTCTACCTATCTATCTAAATCTAATCTAATCTAATCTAGTCTAATCTAATCTATTCTAGTCTAATCTAATCTAATCTAACCTAATCTAATCTAATCTAATCTAATCTATCTATCTATCTATCTATCTATCTGAATGGACAATGATGAGGATGATATTACCGTGATGTTGGGATTGAAAAATTGACGATGACATATATCATGAAACATATACATGATGGGTTTATAGTTATATATAATTGGTATATATACATATGTATATATATATATACATATTATATTGATATTGGTTTTTCATCAACAATAATGATATATAGAATGGCTATATAACCAACCAGGGTAATCAATGGATAACTAGTGGATACCTATGGGGTTACCCTCTAGTGGAAGTAAATGGTGGATTTTCCAGCAAACAGTAGAGGTTCCTCCCAGCAAATGAACGGGTTGTATTTCAAATATTCCAAATTTTATGACTGGATTATTTCCAGCCCATTGATACTTTATTGTGATTCTTTATGATGACAAACCTCTACTTAATTGGAAAATCTCTGTTGGTTGAAATTACAGGCTTAAGAGGCCCCGTCGGCAATAATAGCATAATACTGGGATTGAAATGGGAATGTGGATGGGATTACAATGGAGATAGAGTATGATCATAATGAGGAAACCAAGCGCACTTACGTTTCAATGGGAACATCCGCAAAATAATGGTTGGGTCTCACGTGGATTACCAGTTATGATAATCCCCAACATACTGCGTAGTGTATCCCCCGAACAAAACATTTCTGGATGGAGAAGTTGGGGGACAAACTACAGGAAACCAATGGACACCCTGGGAATCTCGACATTTTTTGGGTGAAACCCGCAATGGGTTTGTCCAATTATGGGTATACCCAAAAATCGTTTGTTGAGCAATGTTTAATGATGTTTAGTTCGCCTACAAACGTTCATTTTTCTTGTGGTCCTGTCCCATTTTTTAATACACCCTTTTTAATACACGCAAGCTTTGTGCCCTGCGATGGGTCGTTGGTGCATGTCCCCATGCATCATCTATATAAATCCTACCAAAAATATTTTTCTTTATCCTGATGCAATGCTAAAAAAACAACAACTATAGAACCAATTACATGCAACCTATAAAACCCCTGTATCATGGTGATATAGATCATAAAACCAGGGTTATACTACCTAGTTTCCAACCATTTTCTTTTATATAACTGTATAACCTGAGGTAAACATATGTGGAAACCTACGATTTGCAGATCATTTTCCTATGCTAAAACCCCATGGGTTTTTCACATCGCGACTGAGGTAATCCAGGTTCGCCCCGACAGTGTGGCTTCCAAGCTGCCCTCGAAGGGCGTGGCCGAACCGCGGATGCTGCAGAAATGGGCGTCGCGTGGTGCAAATGTCGTGGTGGTTGGGGATGGTACAGTTGGTGTGGTCGGTGGTTGGGGATACTGTATAACCCATGAAATCACCATCAAAAGAGGCATAATACAATGGGGTAATGTGTCTTTAAACTCTAAAAATGGGGATTTATCCTCTGGTTATTCAACACACCGATGGAAACTAGCCCATTTCCCGATGATTTAGAAGGTTTACCTATTGAAAATTGTGATCTTCCATACCTATGTCGAATTACTGAAGGGTATTATAAGTCGTTTATTCCAGATATAGCTATTAAGCAAGCAATATCATGGAGCAAATCCAGATGGCTCATTTGGGGTTCCCTAAGTTTTGTTTGGGACCCCGAGTCATGATCCGCATGATTGGTTTTGTTTCACGGAGAAACCAATGCTCTAGGGGTGCCAACGACCACCCCATATATATATATATATATGAAGATAAAAGGGACACAACTAGTTATCACTGTAATATCAATTGTTGATGATCAATGTGGGTCTGATTTCCAAGGAAGTTCGTGGATTGGGTTCTGGAAGGCTTAGGATGGGTCAGGATGGTTGGTATCGTTGCTGGTATGATGGTCCCATATGGTCCCTAAAGTTGTGGACACATTGGCCATCAGGATAGATATGGGGGTTTCTTAAAATTCGGGATCAATACTAGACTGGATGTTTCCATTTTTGGGTACCCCAAATCAACCAGATTAGTTAGATCAGTTTGTTAGATGCTTAGACTGATCTAATGATCTAATGACTTGGATGATTTGGGGTACCCCTCCATTTTTGGAAACCTCCATTTTGACTGCAAGCATTTATGAACTTGCAGGATATCCAGCCTTTTTAAACGGTAGCGAAGGACATCACCTCCCCACACCAAGTGGAACGATGCCCAAAGTTTGCTAAATGGATAGTAGCTGGGTTATATCAGTTATATCAGTTATATCCCATGAAGTTCACGGATCAAATGTAGGGTGCAGAGGACTGTGGAGAGTTGGTCTTGTAAATAAGGTGAAATGACTGTAGCTCCTGATTCTCCAACGTAGGCCTCTGGACAATGGCAACAAATGTTGGTAGGTCGATCATCTACAAACGGGTCATTTTCCATGGCTATGTGAAGTTACTGGAGGGTAGTGTGGGAATGTCTTTATTACCCTCTGGTAAACTAACATAACTATGGAAAATCACAATTTTTAATGGGAAAATCCACTATAAATGACAATTTTCAATAGCTATTTTGACATAACCAGAGGGTACCATCCAAAAATAGATCAACGACCCATGGCAACTGAAAAACTGTTGGTCCATGGCTACTCCAACAAAACCCCTTCGAAAAATCGCTGAGGCTTCGCATTTGTGCCGATCGCCTCGTTGTTTTTGGGCTCAGATGGGAAATCCTGGTGCCGGGCCGCGCCAGGGGTTGGAAGAGTTTCTACTCAAAATGGCTTGTTTTCAGGGTCTATGTGAATTTACTAGAGTAAATTCATGTAAATTACAGGGTATTAGACCCAATGTGTCTCATGAAACCTTGATTTTCCATTGGATTTTCGGAATGCATGTTCGACTCAGCAAAATTCATCAAGGAACCCATTAAAATGCCATTAAAATGCCATTAAAATCCCATTTGATTCCAATCCCATGAAGATTTCCATTTCCGAACCTCCGCTTGGTTCCCGCACCGAGTCCGGGGGTTTCAAGTTCCGGCGCTCTGGCTTCCGCGGGTCCGGGAGCCACAGCTGAGCGCGGGAGAACCCAACCATAGTCATCCTGAATGTAGATAGAACATGTGAAACTTTTCAAAACTAAAATTACAAGCATGTATATATTATATACAGATTGAAGAGTCATCTTTTTTTGCAACATATCTACAAAAAAGGATGACTATATCTCCAAGTGAAGTTAGAAGCCATGGTCAGTGGGTAACCCATGGCTGGTCACTTCGGGGATCGCCGAATCGCCGCCATGTGAATCACAGCCATAAACCATCCGCACTTGGGATGATGTGAACGCAATGGGATGATGATTGACATGTTTATGACATTGATTCACATTTCTTCACATCAATCATTGACATGTTTAACATCATCATTGAAATGTTTATGACATTGATTGCAATTAGATATAGCCCTCATGGGATGATTTTTTTGAACACATGATCAAAATGACTCCCATGTGGTACTGGGATGGGGATGTACTGGGATGGTCGACATTGGGGAACTCCTCAAAATCTTTGGCAAGCATGGTTACAAAGTGTCCACAAAACTGAGATACGTAGCATATAAGGTTGTGAGACTGTATATATTTTATGTCGAAATATCACTATTCTCAATTCTCAATTCGTACACGGAATGCATTTGTATACATTCAAATAATACATATATATATATATACTCTGCATATGTATGTATATATATATATATACATGTTACAGATCACTTGGATAGCTGGCTGCCCAGAGTTTTCTTGTGCCCTAGGAATGAGCCGAAGATGACGTTGTTGGTGCCCTCTGAGCTCAAGATTTTTGACACCGTGCCAGCCTCGGTCAGCCTGAGTGATTTCATATCAGATTTCAGGGGTGAAAAAACCCTAAAAAAACCCTCAACTTCTGCTGTTTTTCCTCAGCTTTTTGGGTGGAAAAGGGTGTAGTTGGCCCAAGAGTTTGCACGTGGACTTCCTTCAATTATATATACATATACAAGCATGTTGTATATATTATGTATATTCAACATTCTTCAACATTACATTATGATATATATCTGGTTGGTGGTTTGGAACATTTTTTATTTTTCCATATATTGGGAATAATAATCCCAACTGACCGATATTTTTCAGAGGGGTAGGTATACCACCAACCAGATATCAACACTACATATATTACTATATATGCTGTAATGTGTAGATCAATGTCCTCTCTGTCCCTGGTGCCCATCCCATTTTGCTTGGTCAAATCACCCTGTTTCTTAAATCACCAATGTGCAAAGATGTTTGTGGGTTATCACATATGATCGCCAATTTTGGTTAAACATCAGCATCTATCTTTTTTTGTGACGATCACCAAGTTTGGTTGAACATCACCGTTCTTACGTCGCATCGGCCCTCCGCGCCTAAAGAGGCGGTGCCCATAGACATCTCGGTGAACGCCGTGACGCCGCTGCACAGCGCGGCGTTGATCTCGGAGTCTCTTGGCGCTGAAGCCCGAGAGAATTTCGTGACCCAAGAAGCATTGATGAACCAACATTTATTGGGATTTAGTGGAATTTGAGTGGCATTTTAGTCATATGATATATGAATAATATTACATGGGGGATATATGGAATATTATGGAATATGGGGATATGTATATATATATATACACATAAAACGGGGATATATAGCATGATATAACTACAGGGATATGGGAATGATGATATGGAATCATAGTCATTTCAAAGTTTTTTTAATCATCATAATTATAGTAAATTGGAACTCCATGGGAATTCTAAATAACCAAGTAAGTTAATGGAACTTTACTGGGATATAATAACCAACAAATTTTTCAATATCCAACAACCAATGGGAATATCTAGTCTAATGGGAAGCATATACTAGTCCCAACTTGAATGGGATATTTTTCACCAACGAATCATTTGAGGCCAGAAAAGCATCCGGGAATTGGTTGACGAGTTTTGGGATTCAAAACACTGTTCAACCCCTATAATAACCATTGATTCACCATGAACTTAACGGGATTAACCATGGGAATTCATGGACATATGTCATGGGATATACTAACCGCTGTTCCAAACCCTTGTTGGTTGATGATGATTTAAATTTGTTAGGGGATTATTTTCTACCCTTTATCATCATCCATCTCAAGCCGCCCATCGAGGGGATTCAACCATGAAAGATGAACGGTGTTTTTCTTTCGAGGATTTGGGTTGCAACAAGATCTTTAGGATTTACCCTCTGGTAAACTAACATAGCTATGGAAAATCACCATTTTTAATGGGAAAACTCACTATAAATGGCCATTTTCAATAGCTATGTTAAATTACCAGAGGGTAACCAGCAACATGTGTCTAGAAGACCAGCAAGTTTAGGTGCTTTGACACATCAACACGAGAATTTCGGCAACACACACACATGGAATGCGGCGCATCACAACATGCACGACGAAGTCCTCCAGATATTCAGCTACGAAATCAAGTTCCAATTAGGTTTCCAAACCCTACAGTAGTGCATGATCACGCAATGCTAGAACCCACATGTGACAGATATCTCTGAGCATCTTTCTTTCTTCCTGGTCAAACTAGAGCTCTTTTGATCATTCTGCCTTTTTACCAACAGAAAAATCAAAAGCAGAAAGCGCATCTTCTACTTTTACATGGGTGGTAGAATTATAGATCTTAAGTCTTAGGCTTGACTTTAGTATCGTCTTTAAATTTTGCAAACGAAACTTGGGGGAAGGATTCGACACGCTTGGCGAAGACGGACATTTGCAAACAGGATGCTAAGTGATCAATCCTTGCCAAACCCAGTGCAATGCACGCGGTCCCCAAATGGGAAACCCGCAACGGCCTTTGCACTGCGATCTGGCAGTTCAGTTCCAAGCTTTTGCTCGTAAAAATTTCCAGAAAAGTCGCCTTTCCAGAAGTCAAAGCATTTGGATATTTCAATTGGTTGGTTATTATATCCTTCCCATTAGACTAGATATTCCCATTGGTTGTTCATACCTTCGAGTCGAGTTCATCGACTCAAACAGTTCACGACTGATCCAGTTTTTTGGGATCTGTGAAAAGCGGATCTCCAGTGTCAAAAAACATCCCGTTTGTGTTGTCCCTTTGGAGAGAGGAATCTCTCCACTGACTTATTCGAAGATATTCGAAGCATGGACTTCACACATGATGGAGACTTGGGTAACAAACGTACGGAGATTGATATAACCCATGTAAATTGGGAAACAACAACCATGAAGATTTACATGGGACCTAAACCAATTAAAATACGCGGAATTCACTGGCAATAACTGGAATTCACTGGGCCTTGTCCAAAAAAATTGTGGGCACCCCCAAAATCGCAATTTGATTGGGACAATGATGAAAAACCACGAGAGTTTGGGGGTACCCTAGTTTCAGATAGACTATGATAGACTTATATCGGCTTGTCCTAAAATAGGGCATTTGATTTTTCCCCAACGGTCATCTTATGGGTGTACCATGGTCCATGTTCAGATACACCCATAGATCATATTCAGTTGGTTTGTATATATATATATATATTTATATGCATAACATAAACAACACACGTATATAAGTATATATATAATTACAATATATTATAGTGTTTTTTTCAAATATATTATATAATGTTATATTATATTGCATTTCATCATCTCATATTATATTATATCCCATAAATGATGCGCAGTATATCCCCATTAAATGTCACCTCACCATCTGGTTGTTCAACTCCTCGCCCAGGTGCAGCAACTTGAACCCACAGAGCAAGGCGCTCGTTTTGTTTTTTGGGGAACGCGGTACCGTTTTTGCTCTGCTCATATTCTTAGCAAGGTGGATATTGAATGTTTGAAATTAGGGTGAAATTGTGCTCATTTCTGGTGAGATGAAGCAAGTTCTAATCCTCAAGTTGCATTTGTTATCCGGAAAAAGCAGTATTTCTTGTAGAACTGCAACCCAATTTCGTTCAGTCAACGACAGTAAGCAATCTTTCTTGTTGATGGTTCAAATCCCCATGCTTTGTTGGGAGACGTAAACAAATCCACAAGACTTTGCTGTTTAAATCCCAATTTTGGTAACTCCAGTTTAACACCCTTTTTCTGAATCGTTGAATCCCATTGAATCCCAAGATCAGTTGGTTAAAACCATTAAAGGAACCATAAATAAAAACATAGAAACCATTAAAAACCATACAAAATAGAGACAAAAAACATAAACACCATAAAAACACTATTTTTGTTGGGTTTTAAACAATTCAAAAAAAATACCACCTTTTTATTGAGCGCCGGATTCTTGGCAGGAGCTGATCCTGTTGATCCGCCGCTGGGCAAAAGATCGCGGTATTTGCCACGCACCCAAGGTGCGGAAGCGGGGAGATGACATTGGGATCAATGTTAATATACTACATGTACTATATATACAATAATATATACAATTTTACATATATATATATTAATATATATATATAATATTATAATATATAATATATAACATACACATGGACTAAATATTTATATAGAGGCATGTATAGAGGTAGCTATATATCTATATATGTATACACGCATTCATGTGCATTGGTTAAACAGACTAGATAGAACTTCTTGGCTAAAACGTAGGATAGACGCAACCAAGTTCACATGATGGTTTATATCATGAACATAATACAATGGTTTAAATGTATAGGATTTGGTTATTTATATATATATATATATACATATGAGTAACAGACAAGAAACCAGAAGGCCAAAGTAGTAAGGTGTGGACTTGGGATATTCAGATTTGTACAGGGGGCCATCCACATCAGCCATGTCCACGAGCAGAAAGGATAATCGGTTGTCTCAATAGATTGATTTGCTGGTATTGTTGCTAATTGGAGTATAACTAACCCCTTGAAACTGGTATAGTTATATATACACACGTATTTAAATTACACATATATATATATATATGTATATATATATATATATTCACATAACGGGACTGCAGTGACCGCAGTGCCGCCAATTCCAGGGACACTTGTCGCCCTACGTGTGGAGCTTGCTGCTTGGCGATTGTTGTCATTTGCCCAGCGGTCGTTGGTCCTGCTCCACTTTCACTTCCTCTCCTAGACTCCTAAACTCTATCTAGGGACGTATATATATGATTATATATGTATATATATATACATACATATATATATATATGTACTGAGTTTAGAAGAGAACGTGAAGCAGGACCAAGTAAATGATAAAATCTTTCTACGGATGTATATAAACTCTATATCTTTCTTGCACTGTAGTAAAGGCGCAGAATGATAGATAGGCGTACAATGTGCACCGATGTATGTATATATATAATATATATATATATATATGGACACGTATACGTCCATATTCGGTACCTGAGTATGCACAGATGCATTTCATACACAGGATGCATAGACTAGTCAAAAAATCATCATATTCTGAGCTTCCAGTTATAGACTTTCTGTGACCCTGAGAGTGCCAGACAAGTCACGAGCTTCATCCTAGCACCGGGTATCTCACCCTGCGTTGGCCAAAGGCTATTTCTTGAAAAATTCTCCGTCCACAAGTGACAACCTGCAATTTTGGGGCGAAGGTTATAGTTATTAGTACTTCCCATTGAAATCTCATTTTGGTGCAACCATTGGGATTCGAACGACCCTGAATCATGGTTTCTCGCTGCATGCTGAATCCAGTGGAATCGATCGGTGCAGGTTGGTGGTGTACTACCTGCAAGTCGCCCAAAAGGAACCCCTGTTGCCTCCTGTGGCGGAATTTCAGGCGCCTGGTGCGATAATTTCGATAGGGGCCATTTTAAATTGAAACCCATGGCAGTCAGAATTTGTAGGTCATAGGAGTCAAATTTGTTAATGATCTTCCCCTGCTTACCTGGAAACCCTTGAGGATGATTTTTCATGATTTTTTCATTGGAAAAGGTTGGGCTGTCCACTTCCATCATCCTGTCCAATCGAGCATACAATTCGGTTGGTTTGAAGCTCCGTGCGATCCCATTTTGTGCTGGGTGAATCCCAATTCTTTCTGGTAGAAATCTCAACCTCTGATTGAACCACTCCCATTCTTACCCTCTGAATTCCCAAGTCTTGCTGATTTGCTTCCAATTTCTTCTCCTAGCTTCATCCCTTTTTGTTTTTTTTCCAAAGTGGCTTTGTCCAAACATGGGATATAGGGGTAGAACATGGTAGAACCCATATCCACTTGCTCATCATATTTCCATATATTTCCCATTTTTCAGGTGTACTTTCTTTTGGTCAAACCCTGAAACCCTCAACCGCAGGCCATCAAGGATCTCCTCCTGGCCGGTTGTGGTAAAACTGCTCAACCATGGCGCGGCAAGGCGCAAAGGATATACCGGTGATCCCATTTCTGATTTATAACGGAGTTTAAAGTTTAAAGGATTTGAATGGAAAAAAGGGTTTTAATGGATTTGTGTGGACTTTTAAGAAAATTGGACTTTGAATATGTTTGAATGGTTTTTCATTGATTTGTTCATTGATTTCTGATGGCTTGTGACGAACAATGCCAGGCCAGCGAGCTCACGGCCGCCGAGCTCCTCAAGGGCTTCATGTAGCTTGGTGTTGTGACAAGGTGAGTCTGGTCCAAAATGATGGGAATTAAAACATGTATATGATATATATGTAATATATTATAATATAGATTATTTATGTATACCTATTAAAACATATTAAAACCAGAAAACGGGATTGTGATTGAGCTATGATCGGATATCATCAATAAGGGGATACGGGTTAGACATTTCATGAGGCGGACGCGGACTTTGCCCTTTGATGCCATGGTTTCTTCAAGCAGGACATGGAATTTAGTAGATTGATATGGGAGTAACAGCATGGCATTGACTTCTTTGGGTAAATCTTCGATAAATGCTGGATCTTCCAGCAAGCCATGGAGCTGATTTTGGGAGGTAGGTGCAAGGCTTTTACCCGTTTGAAAGTGCCCGTTTCAAGACGGCTTCCAAGAATAATCCTTCTCCAGAAACTGGCTACTCAAGAGATGTATATATATATATAGATAGATAGATAGATAGATAGATAGATATCTATGTATACATTTGGACCAACGGCACTTTCTCAGGCCAATTTTTGCTTTCCGGTATCATAGAATCCTACGTCCTTAGTGGTGGCGCAAATCTCATCCCATGGCTGAGGCAGTTCTACAACAGCTTTCCGTGGAAGTCAGAGGCTAGGCCATGAGACTGTTTCAAGCCATGCAATGGCCATGGTCCCATGGTGGTTTCTCAAGGGATTAATGATGGTTAATGATGGTTAATGATGGTTAAGTCTGGTTGGATTTATGGTGCTGTGGGTCTTTGCGTATCTGATTTGTCCCGGCTCCTTTCTCTGATGTTATGATCTTCATTTTGGACGCTTGCCGCTTGCCCTCCGGTAAATCAACATAGCTATGAAAACGCCCCATTCGTTTGGGCCATCTATACCGTAGTTGAGTTGGATGATTACAGGGTATTCCATATTAATTCCATTCTTAATCACAATCAATAGATATTAACCACTATGAACGGATGATGCCAGAATTAATCCCCAAAAATAGATACAACTCGGCCCAAATAGATCATATCTACTTGACGAATGGATGTCTATTGACGGATATTTGTTGATAGGGATGAATCCGTTCATAATGGATATGATATAACCATGATTTGCCAATTAACCACCGTTAGACACAGGATACACATATAGTCGTCCACATTCCCATTGCCTCCCGCCAAGAATGGGATAGCCACTCTTAATGGATATCAACCACTCTAGGTGGATCTTAACGACTATCAATGCTGATTCCCAAAAGACATATTTCATGGTAGATAACTCTAAATTGCCACTATGATGATTCCCAATATTTTCACAACGATATTCAATCTCATTGATGCAAACAATCTCTACTCTTGATGGATGTTACCCTCTGGTTATTTAACATAGCCATGGTATAGATGGTCCATTTTTAGATGGTTTAGCTATTAATAGCATGGGTGGATCTTTCCATGGCAAACTGTTAAATAACCAGATGGGAAGTGATAGTATACCACCAACCAGATTATTATTAACCATTATTAACCATATAATAGCCATATATTAACCATATAATAACCATATATATTCACCACTAGGGCGGTGATCCCCCCATCGCCTCCAGGCGGTCTGTGTGCTGAAGGGTACCCAGGGTCCCATGCCTCTCTCGTTGCCTGGGTCCCGTGTGGTGGGTTGGGAGGAGGATATCAGCCATGGAGGAGATCGGTGATTTGGGGATTTACCCTCTGGTAAACATACAAAAACTATGGAAAATCACCATTTTTAATGGGAAAACTCACTATAACTGGGGTATTTTCAATAGCTATGTTAAATTACCAGAGGGTAAGGGATTTTCACATGATGACATGATGGGATTATAGCCATGCTTAAGTATCGCAACATATCGCAAGATGATGACATTAAGATATGATTTTCACCAAGAAACATTGGGATTGAAGGGATTGAAGCAAGAAATTTAAGGGGAGATTTCATTGTGATAGAACCAGCAGTATGATGTGGGTATGGCCTCAGAATAAGGGACAATTCTTCAAAATGTATCAACATGTATGAACATGTGCCCATGTGTTGATTTGACGGGAGAAGTGTTCCCCGGTATGAGAGAATAGCAATTGTTCCCAACCAGGTACTGGTGTGCGTTTCTCCAAGTGGCACTGTTTTTGGGGAGGATGAGACCTGGAGTCTTGAGCTGTTGCAACAGTCCCACTAAACATCTACCCTCTGGTGAACAAACATAGCTATTGAAAATGGCCATTGAAATAGTGAGTTTTCCCATTAATAGCATGGTGATTTTCCATGTTTTTTTTGTATGTTTACCGGTAAAATGTCCACATTTCTCTTTCGGAAAGGACACCCCAGCGGCGCGCCTGCCGGGATGCCATGGGATGCTCCGAGGCCAATTCACATCATCGAGCACGAGGACGGACCGAAGAGCACCGAGTGCGGACCGAACATCGAAGATCCCTTCGCCCCGAAGAAGAACTTGGGTAGCGGTGACTGGGACGACAGAAACCGACCTCCTTGGGTCAGGGGTTTTCTGGGTCAATATGTTGAGTGAGGTCACCAGATTTTTTGTCATGTGTTGTTGGCTTCGATTTTTTCTTTCGGATTGAAATATTTGAAATTATGGGTTTTTCCCATTGCTTGGATAAAGCCGACTTCAGCTGGCAATTGGTTGGTGATTGGATTTTTTTGCTTCTTTTCAAATCATTATGTTTTCATGAGATGTGGTGGGTATCATCATGTATCATCTCTGTTTTCATCCCGTTTGTGATGATGGTCCTCCACGACTTTCCAATGTTTACAGTATGGGCTGGGGCCACCCAGTCATGGTGCTCTGACCGTCCACGATTTGGCACGGCACCTGAGGTATGACCTGGTGGAGTTGGCTCCGCATGAAGGAGGAACTGGCAAGGCGCAAAATGATGGCCATGGTCAACACATTTACTTTATATTGCCATAAAAACATCATAAAACTAGATGGTCATCAATCTAGGGATTTACATGACCCATTTTTCATAGGACTTCAGCAGGGAGTTTCATTCTGGGATGGATGACCATTCAGCCTTTTTTCTGTGTTTCATGGCTCAGTGAACTCAGGGCCCACACCTTGCTAGAGCAAGACACGTTTGGGGAGCCCTGGGAGAGCGATGGGATCAAATCCACCATGATTGAGATATCTTCAGCCCCCGGCCCCCGTTTTTTCAAAGCCATGGCTGTTTGATTTTTGTCCAAACTGGAGGATTACATACATTTTTAGTTGCGAAACATGATCCTTTAATGTGGGAAATGATGATCAAGCAAATGATCAACCACCAGTTTTTTAGGGTCCTATTTGACAAACCCATGTAGCGACTACATTTGATGCATTTGTACATCTTTTGCACTGCATACCCTGCATACTGTGCCACCCCCCCAATTTGAAAAAACATAGTTTTTACAGCCGTCACTTATATTATATTATCCTCCCTTGTTGATGGGGATCCTCTTATTTCCGGAGCATTTGACCCGCCCGAAACACTGGACATCGGAGAAATGTGATCTGAAGAGACGAGCTGTTGGGAATCCGATAAGCATCAGAAGGCACCACAGTCATCTCAGAAGATCATCATGGACGATTCAAATCCCTCGACTCGACCAATTTTTTTCAATAATTAGCTTCAACCCCAATGTTCATGGCCAAGATCACAATTTTTCAGATGAAATCACAGTTTTGGTTGCAAACATCATCCCTTGGTTCAGTTTCACACGTTCATGCTTCACACAACAATTCCGCAGTTCCAAACAACAATTATTTGCGGACGAAACCACCACTTTTCCAGGTCAAAAAAATCTCCCAATGTTTGTGCGGTAGTATAAGCCTACCTTAAATTGGTTCCGGTCGAAAAACCTTGGGATTCACCCATCTGAGCAATCATTGCTAAATCCCAATGGTCAGAGAATCCCAAGAATCCACACATTTTTTTTTGGAAAGAAAAGTCCAACACCAATCATACAATCCACAAAAAGAGATCATCTACATCCAAATGATCCCAAGATGAAAGTGGATCATGTTTACCACTTGGGGCTAATTCCTTTTATGGGTAGAACCAGGGTTTGTCAATGACATCCTATAGCTATGGTGAAATCTATTCACTTAGTGAACTATGGAACTGTACTTCCAAATAATAATCATTCGTCTATTTTCATACACTCAAACCATATCATATTAAGTTGGTACAACTGTATCCCCACCATATTTTCTCATAATATTCCCATAGTTTGCTTAGTTTCACTTAGTTCACTGGAACTGCACCTTACTTGGGCATCCCAGTGAGTAAGTGGTAACCTGCTTACTTGGTTTATGACCCATATAAAACTGGGGGATATCTCAGAACTGGGGTCTACATTCATATTATATATATGTAATATGGTATAATATGGTTATATAGCTGGGGAAATAAAGGTTTTGCTTTTCCCCTATACAGCCTATATGGTTAAGTTATATGCACATATATATATATAGTATTTATATATAGTATTTATATATAGTATATATATATATATGTAACGTATATATATATATATATAGATAGGTAGATAGATAGATAGCCGATGATTCTCCGAGCCGAGCTCTGAGGTCGCTGTCCACGCTTCTTGCGCCCTGGTCGCCGGAAGGCCCCGAAGAGGCGCCGGATTCTGCCCCGGGTTTGGTCAGCTGTGGAGCAGCAAATCATCGCAGCAAATCTGTTGTGGTTCTGTCCACAGATGGGCCAATATTTTGAGTGTTAAACGTGTTCGCCCGGGCCAGTATACTTTAAGTGAGTTGGGAGTTGGGATCCCATTTTGTTTTGTGAATCATAAGTATGGTTGCTCAGCATTTTTCCACATGGCTTGATTTCCCAAGGCGGCTTTTTTCACTGCGAGGCGTCCCGCAACTGACTGTGGCTGATGTGCAACTGGCTGTGGTGGACAGATGCCACTCCAGTTGCCAGCGGCCAGCGGACAGAGGAAAAAGGATGGCGCTGATGGGCCAATTGGTTGCCAATTGGTTGGGTAAACCTTGGAGAGCGAATGAGGACTAGGAGAAGTACAAAAAATGGGCTGCACAGAAGTTCCAAGCTAAGATTATCCAAGATAATTATTCTCAGCTATTCTTAGCTAGTTACCTAAAGATTCAGTTTTGTTTGGGTATCCAAGCTTGGCGATGCAATGAATTACAATTACCCTTTGGTAATCCCTGGCTGGCTCGAGCGTGCTCGAGCCATTTGGTTTCGAAGGATGCGGCGAGCCCCGCGGCTTTCGCATTGCCAGACTGGATTACATTACAATTACAATAGGGTAACTGGGTCATAAAGTACTGTATTATATATACCCTCTGGTAAACAGCCACATAACTATGGAACATCACCAGTTTCAGTGGGTAAAGTATATAAATCCACTATTTCTATGGTCCATTTTCAATAGCAAACTGTTGAATTACCAGAGGGTATATATTTGTATAACATGATAGAACCCAACAGTTAGGGGTATGTGATATGTGTATCCCCATTGTAAGTGGTAGCGGCCCCTGTACCGAATGAATTTCGTAAACGGATGGGGATACTGAGTGCTATGTGGTGTTTCAAACTCGGGGACTTTCAGGAAATGGGGAGTGGCTTGCTGACTTGGCAAAACATGGAAAGATAACATTTGCCGAGGTTTTTCAGAGTAACAACCAGGCTCCATTGCCATAGCTGATCTTCCAAGAAGGGGTTTCCAGGACCATGTTAAACGGCCAGATGAGGGTTCCCGAATGGCTGCAGTGCCCGAGTTTTTTTTGTCGTTTGCAGCCAATTTTCCATAATTTTCTTGCTTTGATCCTCATGCTTGTGGATCTATCACCATTTTTTGCGGGATTCATTCCCGTTTCCAGTGGTTGAGTTCTAACTTTCACTGCCTAAAACCATCATTTCATCCCCGTTTCGGTTGGGTCTTAATTTCTACTTCCTAAAGCCGTCATCTTTATATTGTCCTCATTTTCTATTGCCTAAACCATCACCCTCAGGTAACCAAATATGGTAACGGACAAGTCCCCATCTATATAATTAGCTATTCTAAATGCTATTGATGAGGATTTATCAGCTAGCCATGTTTGATTTCCTATTGCTTTTCCCATCAATTCTTCAATTCTCTATGAATCATCCATTCTTCGTGGTTAAAGTATTTACCATTTACAGATTATTTTATGATATTTTATAGGTATGACTGGGTAGATAAGTAACATCTAGTAAAATGATATACATACATACGTACATATACTGTATATATATATAGATACTAATATATTTCACCATTTGCAGATGGTGATCAACTAACTAACTCTGATTTTAGTCACTATAGATACTTGTACTATATATAGTATATATATATAGTGTATATATATATAGATACTAAGATTATATATACCTGATTGTTTTTGGCCAAGAAATCCCAGGACTTGCAGATGCGCGCCAAGACTTCCGTGACCTCTTCGAGCTCGGTGACGGGCTCTGTTCCCTCGATGCCCAAGACACTTGGAAGCTCAAAACCGCCCAAGACATCTATGGTCAATGGTGGCTAATTATGGCTATATATAAGATATAATCGAACTTATATAATATATAGTATTAAATAATACATAATATTAAATAATATAATTAATATATATATATATAATATAATATACATAATATAATATAATATAATATAATTTAATATAATATGATATAATATAATTATATATATATATTATATTTTAATATACATAATAAAATAATATGATATAATATAATATAAAATAATATAATATAATTATATATATATATAATATTTTATACATAATAAAATAATATGATATAATATAAGATAAGATACTACAATATACTGTATAATGTATAATATATATTACATAATATATAATATATAATATATATAATAATAATATATAATATATATAATAATAATATATAATAATAATAAATTATAGGTGTATATATATATATTAATGTATATATATATATATTTATTAATATATATATAATATTATATATATAATATAATATATACAATATTTATAATATATATATATATATTATAAAACATAGTAATCTATAATAATATTTCTTATATATATATGGGACAATTGTGGGAAATCATCCTGAAGTCTGTCGGAATATAGGATTTTCAAACATATCATCATTTTTTGCGGATGATGTTTCATTGACATTTCCATATTCTATCTGCTCCAGGATGACTGATGACTATACATGGTCAATGGTGGTTAATGATTGTTATTTCTAGGTACAATCATGGAAACACATAACATTTGCGGGTTACCCTCCCCAATTGATTACTTTTTTGACGCCGCAAAATCTACTTTTTTCCCGAATGCGTAGCAAGGGTTCCTGTTTCACTCTGGGGGCCTGTGAGTTGAGGGTGTGTTCGCTCGACGTTGCCGAACCGTCCGCAACCGTTCGCAACCGTCCGCAACCGTTCGCAACCGTCCGTGTGATAAAAGTTCTGCAGAAAAGGGATCGTTTTTGGAGGTTTCAAACGTCGCGTTGCTTCGTTTCGCGTGGCAGTGCGTGGCACTTCGTGACATTCAGACGTGTTTTGTAACGTGTCGAAAGTCGTTTTGTGTGGCAGGCGCAATACTTTTGCGACGTTTTCGCAAGATGCGTTGCAGTTTTCGTGGCAGGAGCAGCACTTCGGACGTGTCCATCGTCATTTTGCGTGGGCGCAGCACTTGAGACGTGTCGTGTTGCGTGTTTTTGCGAATCGCATTGTCAGGGCTGTGTCAAGTGGCGACAAGGTGCAAATTCCGTGGCAGGCATGGTACTTTGTGGCATGTGCTGAAAATTGACGGAAGCCTCGCACGAAACATCGATTTTGAAGTAGTAAATTTAAAGGTTCCTAAGAAAACTCGTAGGAAACCGTCGATTTTTAAGCTACAAAGTGTGAAAAGTGGAGGAAGTCTCGCACGAAATGGTCGTTTTGATGCTCCCACGTGTCTCGTCTCGAGTCTCTGGTTTTCCTGTGGCCTTGCCGTGTCTATGGGGGAAGCTGCAAAACCTTTCTTTTTCGAATGTTTCCAAGCAGGTCGTAATGTTGTTTTGCGTAGCAGGCATGGCACTTTGTGACATTCCAACCTGTTTGATAACGTGTCGAAAGTCGTTTTGTGTGGCAGGCGCAATACTTTTGCGTCGTTTGCGCAAGATGAGTAGCAGTTTTCGTAGCAGTCGCAGCATTTTGGAGATCTCTGTCGTCATTTTGCGTGGCAGGCGCAGCACTCCAGACTCCACACTCCACACTCCACACTCCACACTTTACCGTTTACACTCCACACTTTACACTCCACGCTTTACGCTTGACACTTTACACTCCACACTTTACACGGCTCCTACCTCGCTTGTGGCTGTAAGATGTGCCAATCGCTTGTGGCAGTAAAAACGTTCATTTTTTTCCTGCCGGAAGCGATTTTTTTTAAACTGCCGCAGGTGATTGCTGTTTTTGCGTGGCAGGTGCAACATTTCAAGGTCTAATCGCTTGTGGCGGTAAAATCGCGTTTCTGTTTTCAATCGCTTGTGGCAGTAAAAAATCTATCGCTTGTGGCGGTAAGTGGGTGTCCTTGATGATGCCAGGGTATATAAAACCAATCGCTTGTGGCAGTAAGCTGCTGGGACTCCTGCATTCTCGGACGCAGGGCAGGTTCTATGAGGAAGGGAGCGACACGGTGCACGTGCCAAGCTTTGATGCCTTTCACGCGACTTGGTGGCTGTTGTTGCGAACATGAATTCTGTTGTGCCGTGGGCTGTGCTGCTGCTCTTGCACTCACTGTGGCTTAGAGTCGGATGATACATATGTGCTTGAGCATTAAAAGGCCAGACCCTGCTACGTAGACATGAGGCTTCTTAGGAGAAATTGCTGCTAGAGTTGCGTGTGTTTGTTATGTTATTCGGAGACGTCGCTGCTATAGCTGATTTGTGGTTGGTGCTGGTGACGGTTGCTGTAATGTGGCTGGCGCAGCAGGGCAATGTTTGATTGCGTACAGTGCTACATGTCGGTGAAGCGGGGTTGCATGTAGAGGGACGCGTTGCTGGATGTTATGCTAGCAAGCTTTGCCGCACTTGTGCGCATACTTGACGTTACGGGTAGGAAATCTTTTCGGTTCTCACTCCTCGGTTTCTCTACTCTCTCCCCACGCGGACTCTGCGCTACGCGTGGTCTCCTATCCATGTGATTTCTACACACTCACTGGAAACATCTCAACGTTGACGTACATAAAGTTTATGTCAACTCCTTTCTGTTGTACAGGATTTCACAGTTTTTACTGATGTCTTGATTGAAGTTTATATCATGTTATCAAAGTAATCCCTTACGTTTGAGGCTTGACTTTTGAAGAGGTGGTTGAATCCTCATGACAATACGATCATGGTTATTGCTATGATTGCAGTTATCAGATGGGATTGGTGTGACGAAAGATCCTGTTTGGATGATGATCCTTAATGTCAAGTTTGAGAACCGTGATGGTCCAACTCCGGGAACAAGTACCAAAAGTGCTGGGTGTAGGTGAGAAAAAGGGCGACAGCTGCGTGTACACACATCTTGGCATCACAGTTGTGCGTTTTCTCCTCTTCCCAAGTCTTTTGCGTCGAAACCTTTACTAATCCAAACAAAGATAAGCCAATGTGTTGAGCGTTGCTGCTTGGCATCACTAATAATTTAATGATTTAGGCTTTTTGCTGATTTTTCTCTCCAGTGAGGACAAGTTGCGC